ATCTATCTATCTATCTATCTATCTATCTATCTATCTATCTATCTACCAATATCTATCTACCTATCTACCAATCCATCCATCCATCCAAAAGGACTGTCTGTCTTCCTGCCTGCTTGCCTGCCTACCTAATTACCCACCTACCTACCTACCAATATATCTATCTACCTACCTATCTTATCTATCCATCTATCTACCTGTCTCTCTCTATCTATCCATCCATCCATGTTCGAAGCACTGGCCCAGCAAGCACATCGGAAAAATAGAGCAAAGCCAGTTTGGGGTAGAGAGAGAGAGGGAGAGAGGGAGGGAGGGAGGGAGGGAGGGAGGGAGGGAGGGAGAGAGAGAGAGAGAGAGAGAGAGAGAGAGAGAGAGAGAGAGAGAGAGAGAGAGAGAGAGAGAGAGAGAGAGACTTGATGCATCAGATTGAAATGAGGCCTAGTTTAGACTGAAGCCCTTTTCCACATTGAAACATCTTTGGCTTCTATTAAAGGTCTCGTGGACAAAACATAGTCAAGACTATCAGGAAGCTCTCACATTTTGTTGAGGCTTTAAACGGGATCCATTGGACCAGATCTCCACCCTAAAAAATTACTTTTCCCCAATGTATTACAGTGCCAATTCTGAAGAAGGTAAAACCAAAATGTACTGGTAAATTACAAGAACACACACACACACACACACACACTCCATTCTAACCCTGCTGGAGCAGGTGATTGGACTAGAATAGATATCTCATTATCTTTCTCCTCCCTCCTTCTTTATTTCTTTTTCTTTCTATCCCTTCCTTCCATCCACCTTTCTTTGTCCCCTTTTCTTTCTTTCCCTTTTCTCTTTCTTTTCTTCCTTCTCTCTTTCTCTCTCTTTTCTCTCTCTCTCTTTCCCTCTCTCAGGCTCACCCCATTGACTTGGTGCACTGCTTCACTTGGACTTGCTTGGGCAGGTCCCTCCAGTGCAGCGGGCTCAATGGGGTGGACCTGCGGGGCTGGCACTTAAAACGCGGCAGTGGCGGCACATCTGAAAAGTAGAGCAAAGCTAGAGGTCAGTAATTTTTGCTGCAAAGAATCACAAAAGCTTCTGGGTTGTGCACAAGAAGGGACACACATGTGAAAAAACAGAATTTGCAATCTTATTATTTACAATTAATGCCTTGATAAAAGGGTACAGTTGTTCCTGAAAGAAATACATTTTTAAAAAATTATAGAATATACTAGTGATATTCAAGTTTTAGAATTTATTTTGTAATATTAAGTACTTTTTCCATATGATATTAATGTGGTCAACATGACATAGGGAATACATTATGAGATACTGTATATAAAGCAATTTATTTTAGTATCTTAATCTTCTAAATTAATTGAATTATATTTCATGTTCTGGATATATTATTTCTGCAGCTGTCCAAAGTAGATAGATTATTAATTCCAACAGATTTTAGCAGAATTCTATTAACAAAAGTTTCCATATTATATTAGGAAGCTATATTTGCAGATAAACGAAATATCTACGTCCATAATTATTAAATATAGAATTACTAAGTAATTATTAAAGGAAAATCTTTCTATGGTAGAAACAGATACAAAATAAAAATGAAAGTGTTATATTGTTTTACATTAGACATATATTCCAGCTTTAGAGACAATGGCTTTCTAAGCCTTGGAATGGGAAACAAACATAAACGCTTTTATAAGTGGCTTTGAAAGTTCAATCCATTACTATGAAACATGACTTTCTGTATTGGAAATAGACATGAGGTTTAATGTTGATTTACCTTGGACTTTAATAACAATGAAAGTAACATTATGCCACAAACTCTAAAAACAAAACAAAAAATGACTGAGTAAAGCCAACTCACAAGAAAAAGAAAGAATAAAAATAGCGTTCATTATTGTCTTTATAAAAAATTGATTTTTTTGAAGATGAATTAATATTCAAAACCAGATTTAGTGTTTTATATGTTTTACAAAATCAGTATCTAAAAATTCTTGTTAACTATTTGCCCATATAATTATTCTAAATGAGAATGCTAATAAACATGTAATGTGAAAAAATAAAAAAATGCTGTCACTATGCTTCAAAATATTGTATCTGATTCTATTAAAACATCATGAAAGAAATTTTATTTGATCATTTTCCTCTGAAAGAAAATTAATAACTATTTTTATATTTCATTCTGCTTCATTCTGTTTACACATTCTCAGTTTCCAGCTGGGTCGTTATATCTTCAGAAACAGAAAAATATTCTGATAGCGTGCTTTGATCACTAGCAGTGGACACTTGATTTATGTCTTCAACATCAGGATCTGAATTTGCTGTGCAATTTGTTTCATTAAGTATTGAAGGAGATCTATATTCTTGGACAGCTAATGGATGACTTTCTAAAACATTGATTTCAGTATCATCAGTGGAAACTGAAGTACTGCTTGCATATGAATCACAGACTAAATTTTGCTGAGAAACAAGAATACTATCATTTTGAGAGTTTAGACATGTTCCCATGCAAAATAACGAATGACATACAGCTTTTTGTTTTTGATGCAGAGGCCCATTTTTTTTGGATGAAACAGGTTTTTTTTCAAATGCAGTTTTAGCTTTGGAGTTAACTTCTGATTTATTATAAGCATATTGAGTTTTATTGAAAGGCACTGTTGGAGAAATCAAAGCCTCATAATTATTTCTGGAAGCTTCTTTGACACATGGAGTATTCCCTGTCCAAGTACAATTATTTGAAAAGAAACTTCTAGATATTGGTGACTGCTTTGAAATGTTCTGTTTAGATATCTCAAAACAATTACTTTCAGAAGATAAATCTGAGGAAAAATGTTTTCCAGTAACAACATTTGGATTAAAATTAATGGCTGTGCTAGTAGTAGTAGCAGCAATTTTTGTAGGGAAGGATGAAGAGATTTTCTCATTTATATTTCTCAGGTTGCAAACTTTGCTTTTAGGATTTTCCAGAAAAAAATTGGACAACACTAATTTTTGTTTTTGGAAAGATGAAGTAGATGACTCTTTCAAATTGGCACCAAAATTTGAAAAATGCTCCATAACTTCTGTTGAGACTGGCTTTAAAGTCTTTTTTGGTTGTATGACTGTCTGAGATACATTTGGGCATGCAGTAAATGAGAACAGGGTTTTAGAAGGATAGGTTTCTACAGGAGTTGGCAAATATTTTTCTGTCTTAAGACATCTATTGGTATTTTCCAACAGGTTAGTTTTCTTGGTGTCATTTTGAGTGTCTTTTGGATCTAATACATTCAAACTACTATCTGAGCCACAAAAATTGAAGTTTGAGATTTGTGTTTTGAATGCAAAACCAAGGGAATTAGATAAACTACATTTATTGGCAATTTGTTGTTGTAGTATTTGCGTATTTTGTTTCTTCGGATTATGTGCTTCAACACCTAGGCAAAACAAGCCATTTCCTGAAATTACCTTTTTTGAAAAGCAAAATTTTGGCAATGTATTTCTTTCATGTAAATTCTCTGCATGTAATTCATCTGAATGTACTTCACGTTTCATGTAATGTATAAAACGCAGCTCCTAAAATAGAAGAGGATACCATACTTATTGCAAATTTCCCAAAATGATTATAATTATTTTCTACCAGCATTTCAGATTTATCTAAAATGTAGCAGTGACCTGACTCAATCAACTTTGGGTGATCTTAAAAAAGCTGAACAATGCTGAACATTGTTAATAAACCAGGAAATCCCTAATCTCTACTGTAGGTTATATCCCAAGTTGAAAAAAATATTCTGGAAGATAACAATGCCAAACCAATTTTGTGTTATTGCCCCCCAAAACTACATGGAGTACCCACATAGTCAACAGGAGTCAAAACTGACTTGAAGGATTCTTTATATTACTAAGTTACACATTACAGTACTTAAATTTAGTTAGACATTACTAAATAAATATCCAGAAATAGCACAATCTGCAAAGAATAAGGTTGTATTATTATAATAGGGTGAACCATAATTTTTCTTTTTTCAAAATGTGATCCAAGTAATATGGGCAGTATACATACTTCATATAAAAGACAATAGAAATAGGGAGGCTGTAATACACTGGGTGGATTTGAATAACTTCACTCTTTTACATGACAACAAATTACTAGCTTCATTTAACAGTGGCGCAGAAGATATAACCCAGATTTGATATTTGTGAGTGATAGTATAATCCAGCAATGTGTTAAAGTAGTTTGCCCACCTATTCCAAATACTCAGCACCAGCCGATTATGTGTCAGGTTACCGCTGCAGTTCGACCTCACAGAATCCCCTTTAGATGTAAGTATAACTTTAACTTTAAAAAAGCTGACTGACCTAAATTTCAGAGACTGTTGGACATTGCTTTTACTCAATTAATACCTAAAGCAAGCTAAACTAAACAGCCGTGGTGGCACAATGATTAGAATGCAGTATTGAAGGCTAATTCTGCTGACAACCAACTGCCAGCATTTCAGCAGTTCAAGTCTCACCAGCTCAAGATTGAGGCAGCCTTCCATCCTTCCAAGGTCAGTAAAATGAGGACCCAGATTGTTTGAGGACATATGCTGACTCTGTAAACCACTTACAGAGGGCTGTAAAGCACTGTGAAGCGGTATATAAATCTAAGTGCTATTGCTATTAAACTAATTTGTGGAGGCCATTAAAAATGTTCCCTGATATCAGTCCTACAGGGTTGTAAAACCAATGATATTGAAGCCTTACAGTGGAAACAAAGAACAAACCACAGAAGTATCTTGCTCTTTTTGAAGTTGATGCAGAGGGCACAGTGAATGCAGGCCAACGGTTAATTACTTCTACAACTGAAGCTGGATTAAAACAATAGAGGAACTGGACATACACATAAATAGCCAGAAAGTTTGGAGATTGTTGAGCCACCTGAATAATGATGCAACTTGCTCTAGAGATTATGCCAACATGACTGCAGACCTAACAGCCAGTCAGCTTCTTAAGATGACAACCCAGATCAAAGGCAACCAAAACAGAAGATTAAGATCCATAGAAATGAAGAAGATGAAATGACTAACTTATCGCCCCTCTTTATTATAGAAGAACTGAGAGGCTATAAGGAAGAGTAAGCCACTGAAAGCTGCTGGTTTGTATGACATCCTTGTTGAAAAGATAAAGCAATTGAGGCCGAAAGCAATGTCTACTAGAAATGTTTAATTGAGTGCTTCAAACAATATAAGCTTCCTAGTGTCTGGAAAAAGGTTACAGTTGTAGCAGTTTTAAAATTAGGTAAAGATGCCAATAACCCTAACTACAGTCCCATTTATCTCTCTCTCTCTTTTTTTTAGGCTAAAAACTATGAACATTTTATTTCTTTCCCTCAAATCCATCCACATCCATCAAGGGGGAGTCTGCAAATGAATCCTTCATTTTATAGTGATTTTTCTTATAATATTTCAGTCATTGAAATTGGGTTGGAAATCAGAGGTTATACTCAACTACCATTCTGGAAAGATGGTTTACTAAAAAGTTGATTAAGAAAATGTAAGTCTCAGCAAACCATTGTTCAGGATGGATAAAAATACTGATTTATCACTTTAGTTTGTTTTAACAGACAATATATGAGAAGCATGTTGAATATTTTAAAACTATGCATCGTTAAGTATTTTTGTCAGCCCTGGGAGCCTGACATTCTTATCTTGCCAGCAATAAGAAAGTCAAGGATAAATATTTTAATGTTTTTTCAATAAAATTAACATAACCTGAGTGCCATACCTACAAAATCTTTGAAAGAATTATACAAAAATCACCTCACTGTAGCTGTAGAATACTTTCTCATACCACAGCAGGGTGGATTTTGCCTGAAAAAAAGCTGCATCATACAGGTCCTGAATTTAACCCAATATATCACAGATGGATTCCAAAAGGGCAATGTAACAGGAACTTCATTCATAGATCTCACAGCCACATATGATACTTAGGATCTTAGGAGACTGAAGCAGAAAGGCATGACTAAAGATTTTAAATACCAATATCATCAGGAATCTGCTTGATAACTGTATACTTTTTGTGGAGTTCCAGGGGGAAGGCTTCCAAAGAAACAGCTTACCATAGGGTAGTGTATTGGTTCCAATTATTTTTAATATTTATACAAATGATCAGCTGCTCCCTCAAGGTACTAAACAATTATATGCTAATGATCAGGCAATGGCTGTACTGTTTAACTGAAGCCCAGGTAGAGCTGGATCAATACCATTGTGATAACCAGTTAAGACCAAATCCAGCAAAACCTCAGGTATGTGCCTTCCATCTTGGAAATAAGTTGGCTGCTAGAAAGCTGCTTACTATATGGAGTGGAAAGTTACTGGAAAATTGCTACAGCCCTATATATTTAGGAGTCACTCAAGATAGGGCCCTAACATATAAGCAGCACTGTACCAATACTAAACTGAAGGTCAGTGGATGAAACAACATCCTCAGGATTAATGAGCTCTACCTACCGAGGTTCCTTAAGACAATACCTCTAGCTCTTTGTTACTTGGTATAAATCAGCACACACTTGGAAAGTAGATGTTGCTCTCAATAAAGCAAGCAGAATTATTACTGGATGCCTTAAAACTACCCTCTAAGATACCCAATGTTGGAAATGTAAAAAAGTTGACAGTACATTTTATCACATGTGGTGGTTATGCCCCGAGACCAGGACATACTGGATCCAAATCAAAAATTGGTTACAAGAGATCACTGGGTATCAGATTGAGCTCAGACCGGAAACCTTCCTCTTAGGAATCATCAAAGATGGATAACCGAAAGAAGTAAAATACTTATTATTACACATTATAACAGCTGCCAGAATAGCCTTTGCGCAAGTATGGAAAACCCCAAATACTCCTAATGAAGAACTAATAATACATAAAGTAACGGAAAGTGCTGAGATTAACATGCTAACAATGAAACTGAAAGAAAAAGATGACTCTGAATTCTTTTCAATTTGGAACAATTGGTATAAATGGTTAACAAACAGAACTAAGGTGAGACAAAAAGCCTAACTGAAATAATCCTTAAGAAAGTAAAACAAAATTTTGTAAACTAAAGATATAAGAATAGTAATCATAGTTAAAGCTATTATTTAATATTAGACAAATGTAATATAATTATGATATTTAAACCAAAAACCTGTATAGATGCCGGGAAAACTTCCGGTTTGTCGGCTTCGCGAGCGGCAGGGATTTGCGAAGCTGCGCGATCCCTGCCGCGCTAGCCGTTTTTGGGGCTCCGACCCAGCCGGGTACGGAGCTAGGCTGCCCTGCAGGGGCAGCTGAAGGTAGGGGGGATCCGGAGAAGGGTTTGGGGGTGCTGCAGACTCCCTCCCTGGCCGGCAGAACTCCCTTTTCCCAGGACGGTGCAGCGGCGGTCTGTAATGGCCGCCACAAAGAAGCTGGCAGCCGGGTAAGAATGCGCAGGAGGAAGTGGAGAAAGTGATTGAGAGGAGAAAGTTTTTCTTGGCTCCTAGGACTCTAAGACATATCTAATAAAATTCCTGAAAAGTATGACTTTCTGAATAATACCTGCCAGAAGAGGAAAAAAGCGGCTGTTTGAAGGTGCTGAAAGGATAGCTTTCCCTCTTTTCCTACGGAATAAATAACTGGATATTAAGAAACCTATTTCTTTTAGGTGAAAATTGGTTTTAAGCGATGAGTGGGAAGAGAGAGGATTAAAAAGAAAACATTTGTATGCTAAGACTTTGTTGGAGCAGATGCCTTAAGGATTTGAAGACTAGAATATATTGCAATAAGATTTTAAACAGATTTGGACTTTCTTTCTCTTGGATTGATATTACCCCAGAAGGAGAAAGTGAGAACTCTGCCTTGGTTTGGACTGACTGATAACTTTGGGACTGTTTTATTTTTTTTATTTTCTTTTGAATATTCTGGTTGTTGTAAGAAGAAAGAAGGGGAAAAGAAAAGAAAAGATTTATAATGGCTCTTTCTGTTGAGGAACTAAGAAAAGAATATGAACAAGCAAAAAAAAATGGTAAAGATGGTGTGGAAGAAGCTTTCCTTTTCTTAGAAATGGCGCTTATTAATTATCAACAAACATTACAACAGATGAAGACAGCAGAGGAACAAGAAAGAAAGAAAGGAGCCATTTTTAATGAATCTCAGAACTTGATCCAGAAAGAAGGAAGAGAGAAAGAAAAGAAAAGAAGAGAAAAGAAGAAAATTAAAGGACTTAAGGACTTAAGATCTAAAAAAACATTTAAGAAAGGGAAAAATAAGGTGCAAAACCAATATGATGATAGTAAACAAAAGGGAAAAGGAATACGACAGAGAAGGGAAGCTGGCAAGGCAGAGGCTAGAAGAAGGGGGGGTAGAAAGGTTTGTTGGGAGAAGAAAGAAAGGGAAAAGGTGGAGAAAAGCTACAATGTTTTGAAATTAAATGAAAAAAAGAAATCTTTTTTGGATAATGGATAAAGTATAATTTTTTAAAAAAAAAAAGATTTTGCAAGGTACATAAGATGAGATGGTAGTATTGTAATGATTTAAGAGTTGATAAGAGATTAAAATGTTAAAATGTTTAAAAAATGATTGGCTTTAAAACCTAATAATAGGGGAGGTTTAGAATATTGTTTTAATTAAAGAGTTTAATAAGACTATGGTATTGATGTTATTATAAAATTTTTATTATAGTATCTTTTTTTAATATTTGGATTTATTGTCTAATTATGTACTTAATTATTTTGGATGTATTAGTTAGATAGAATGTACCAAGCAAAATCGGATTGGGTATTAGATATTATTTTAAAGATTAATTTGATTAACTTAGGGGGGAGATAGAAAGGCATCATACTCTGATTAATGATTTCAGGAGAAACTTATTTTCTTTTTTTTTATAAGGAATGAGACAAAGGGATGATAAAAAATGGACAAAAGATATAAATATAATGATTCAAATTAAGATGATTAATTAAGATGGAAGTAAGAAGTGTGAAATATGTGGGGAAGTTAATATAGAAGGCTTAGAATGGTAAATAAAATAAGTAATGATATGTAAGATGAGCATGAATATAATTGAAGTCCATGAAGAGAGAGACACCTGGGTCCAAGTTACTTTCCAAAAAGATTTTTTTTTATGTTTTGTGTGTTGTGTGTATATGTCTTTTTGGGGGGAGAATTAGTTAAAAATTGTAGAAATATAGATTGAGAATAATGGTAACTAAGTCAGAAAGAAACAGATGAAATAATAATAATGATATTGAATAAGAGTAAAGAGAAGTAAAGAGAAATTGAATAAGAGGTTTTGGTATGTTGTATGGAAATGGTTTAAAACAGAATTATAATTTATCTGACTTGTTAAATTGACAATGAAAAAAGGTTTAAACATGTAATGAATAATGACAATTTGTGTGTTTTAAAAATTAATAAAACTTGTTTTAATAAAAAAAAAACAAATGCAAAAAACAAAAACCTGTATAGATGCCAAGAACGCTGTTGATACCATGATGTTTTACGATGTAACAAAAGCAACTCAATAAAAATAAAAAAATAAAAAAGGGAAGGAAAGTAATAAGGGCAATAAATAGGTATATTTAGTTCCTCCTGCCCTGCAACAGCACAACTTGGTGGCCTTTGTCAAGCACAAAAAGTCTTCTACATGGGGGTCTCAGAAGATTGTCATGAAAGGGCCAAATAAAAGGCTCCAGAGCTCTGTAGGAGCTTATCCTTTGCAGCCTTTAATTTAACATCTGGCTCCAGGAAAGGTTGGCTTGCAAGACTCCAGATGTGGCCAAAAACATCTTTTTGCTCCCCTCGCAGGTCAGCAATCCAGTCCTTCAAGGAAAGGTTCCCATTTTGAAGCCACAACTGGCAATTCTGATATAGTTTAAGGAAGCAACCCACCCTACAAAGTCAACAGCAGTTAAGGGATAATTGTAAATAGTAGTAAGAGTCTCGGTGGTGCAGTGTTTAGAATGCAGGACTGCAAGTTACTTCTGCTGACTGCTGGCTGCCTACAATTTGGCAGTTTGAATCTCTTCAGGCTCAGCCTTCCGTCCTTCCAAGGTGGGTCAAATGTGGACCCAATTTGTTGGGGGCATTACGCCGACTCTGTAAACCGCTTAGAGAGGACTGTAAATCCACTGTGATGCAGTATATAAGTCTAAGTGCTATTACTATTGCTGTAATAAGTGAAATTAAAATCCTTTCCTACATGTAAAAAAAAAAAACCTACCCTCTAGATCAGATCTAGCTAGCTGTGGTGACATGCAAAGAATAAAACATATGTATACATGCCCTTTTTGTCCTGATCAATGTACACTTGAGGACCTCATGGCAGCACGAACACAAATAATATTACTAGTTTCTGGGGAAGATTTGTTTAATTTGTACATATTTTAATCTTTTATTTTATATTTTAAATGTTATGTTGTATAATATGCCTTATTTTAATTGTGATGCTTCTGACACAAATAAACAAATGTGCTTCAAGATGAAAAGAGAAAAGATATGAATATTTTATTGAATGTCTCTATTTGTGAGGTCACTGAATTGGGTTAAAAAGGATAATATCCAGCCAGATATCAAGAGCCCTTCAAGTATCCATGCCACCCAGCTTACATTTGAATTACAAAGGCATTAAGACTAAACATGTAATCTTACCTCATGACTCATGTTTTGAAATTTAGCAGTTGCTGACACTGACATATACTGAGTTGGAATATTCTTACCATTTTCCAAAACATCTTTTCCTGGTACTGGCTAAAAAAAGATATTTAAATTAAAAACTGTTTTGATAGACCAACTGAAATATCTATTACCATCTATTACATGCAGTAACTTACATGGAAATTATCTTGTTCAATTTTATCTTCCCATTTGTCTTCAGGATTTGCAGATGTAGAAGGTTCACTATTTCCTGAAGGAATATCAGCTTTTAAGATGAAAGGTAAAAGAAAAGTTTGTCTTATATACTGATGACTATATTAAATACACCGAAATAGTTTTAGCCATAATTTCCATGTTTACAATTAGTAGAGCAAATGAAACAGGAAAAACAGGAAAAAGTTCCCTATTTATGTAAAGAAAAGCTTTAAAAATAAGTATGAATCATTTCAATAGCTGTATAATCCTACCTTTTGGCATATCCAAACTAACTTCAGTAAGAGTCAAGGCTGAAATATCCTTTATTATAGATTTGATATCTAGCTGTATTTGTTTGCATTCTGGCTGATCTTCATGACCAGATGCCATCTGAATCAGCTCAAGTTGAGTCTTCATTCTGTACAACAAAAATACAATTATATGGGATTTCCTCTTGTGTTTTTTTTAAATTGAGAAGTATATAAAAAACATATATAAACGTAGAATACTATACAAATAAAATATTTAAATAAGGACACTTATTTGTGCCAAGCACAACTAATCTAAGTGAAATAAAATAACTGTTAAGTGAAAGTTGATTTTTATGGAATTATCAGAAAAAAATACTGGTAGGTTGGGCAACCTCCCCAAAACTTGGTCAGAAGCAAATATTACTTTAATACTAAAAGAAGATTCAGACTTACAACAGATAAAAAGCTATAGACAGATATCATTATTAAATGTAGACAACAAAATACAGTGGAACCTCGGGTCACGAACGCTTCTGTTCGCAACAAAATCGGGTGATGACCAAAATTTTGAGAAAATTATTGTTTCTGGTCACGAACAGATCATTGGGTGCCGATCAAATACAGCTGCAGCGATTTCTCCTTCTGCGCATGTGCAGAATTGTAGGCACATGCACAGTCAGTCCCACTTCTGTTCGCAAGCAAATCGGGTTGCGACCAAAGTCCTGGAACTGATTATGGTTGTGACCCAAGTTTACATTGTATATGTCTCAATAAGAGCAGAGAGATTAAAAGGCTTCTGAATGAATTTATCTATCCAGATCAGAATGGCTTTCTACCTAAAAGACAAATTAAAAATATGAGAATTATTTTGAATACATTAGAATATTATGAAGTACACTTTGAAAAATAGTTGGTGCTGATCTTTCCAGACGTGCAAAAAGCCTTTGATAATTTGACAATAATTGACAATAATTGGCAATTCATGATATCTCAATTTAATATCTCAATTTAATATCTCAATTAAAATGTATGGACTTTGGCAAAAAATTATAAACATGATTAAGGCAATATATTCTAACTGCAAGTGACAGTAAATGGAGATATGACAGAGGATGTTAACATTAGCAAAGGCACAAGACGAGGATGCCCTCTGTCCCCCTTATTATTTATAGTGACTTTGGAAGTTTTGACAAGAAAGATCAGACAAGATTCAGAAATAAAAGGTATTGAAATAAAAAAAGAAAACTACAAATTGCAGGAATTTGTGGATGATCTAGTATTTATACTAGAAGAACCATTAGAAACAGGATCTAAGTTATTAAAAATAATAGAGGAATATGATGAAGTAGCATGATTAAAAATAAACAAAAAAACCAAAATGTTGTTAAACAACCTTACAAATAAACAAAAAAATGAATTGATGAAAAAGTTGGGCATTCAGATAACTAAAAAAGTAATATACAATATTTAGGAATTTGATTAACAGCAAGACGTGTTACTATCAGAGAAGATAATTATTCTAAACTAATTCAATAAATAAAGCTAGATCTGGAAAAATGGGAAAACCTATAGTAATTGATGGTAGCAAGAATTGCTACAATAAAAACGAGTATCTTACTTAAGCTATTATTCCTGTTTCAAACAATTCCGATAAAAACTGAAAAAATGTTCTTTGAGGACCTAAACAAATTGATCTTAAAGTTCAATTGGCAAGGGAAAAAAAGCAAGAATAAAACTGAAAATGTTACAAGAAGCTAAAAACAAGGGAAGATTTGGGTTACCAGATTGGGAGCTGTATTACCATGCCTCAGTGCTTACATGGGTGAAAGAATGAGTAATTCTGAGGAATAACAGGGTAATGACCTTAGAAGGACATGATTTACAATTGGGGTGGCATCAGTGGTAGACTGTTGCAGGTTTGGACCATTCTAGCAAACCCTCGATGATTGGGTGAGCAGGTTGGCCAACTGATCCGCCCCTGCGCTATCCTGTCTTCCATTTTCTTCTTTTACAACTCAGCTGATTTGTGCAGCAAAGTGGATTACTGCGTGCGCTCACAGAACTGGTTGTTAAACTGGTTGCAGCCTATCCCCTGGGTGACATGCATTCATGTGGTATGGGAAAAATAAAATACACAGTTATTTCTGTTATATTAGAAATGCTTTATTATCAGTATGGGAAAGGCTTAAAGAAAAACATAAAAAAAATACCGATTTGGCTATCCACAATGGAAGCACTAGTTCATCCAAATGTTGAATTGGGAAAAATTACAAGATATAAAGATATTCTAAATGAACAAGGGGAATTAAAATCGAAACAAGAACTGGAAAACCAAGGAATTGATTTGGCCTAGTGGTCATTCATCCAAATACAATCAAGATACAAAAAAGATGCAAAAATGTATGGATTTTATAAAGAACCTTTAGAACTAGACTAGATATTTTTAGGGACGAATGACAAATTAATAAAAAAACAATATAGCTACTTATTCAATTTTATAATGGAAGAACAGGTAAAACAAACAATGATAGTATGGTCTAAATATTTTGGGTACACCATAGAATTAAGGAATTATAAATTGACGATGTCACCAGTTTATAAAGAAAATTTGTACAAAATGTTTTATGGCATTTGCTGGCGGCAAATGCCAAAGATGTTTCAAAATGTATCTCCCAAATGTTGGAAATGTAAACAGATAGAGGGTTCTTATTATCATATGTGGTGGACTTGCCCAAGGGCAAAAAAAAAAAAAAAATTGGACAAAAATAAAACAGTGGCTAGAAGGAATGACAAAACAACAAATAGACCTAAAACCAGAAATGTTTTTGTTGGGTATTTTACCAGAAAAATATAACAAAACAAAACACACATTTAATTTTATATGTGATAACAGCAGCGAGAATTGGGTATGCACAAAATTGGAAAAATGAAAATATACCTACAGAGGAAAATGTAATAAAGAAAATATTAGATTGTGCTGAAATGGATAGATTAACTTGGAGATCAAGGATAAGGAGGACACAAAATATCTTTTAACTTGAGAACTATTTTATCAATGGTTAGAAAATAGAAGCAGAAGTTACAAAATTAAAAACTATGAGGATATGTAAATAAAAATGAAGTAAACATATAATTAAATAATGAATGTTGAAAAAATAGGATAAGGAAATATGATTATTAGATTTGGAGGATAATGGTGATAAATGTGATATTCACAAGGTCTGATATTAATTATATGATAAAATCAAACAGAATGTTTAATTAAATAATGGAAACTGTTTAATAAGGACAAGTGAAGATTATGGTGAATAGATTGAGTGAATAATGGTTATAATTATAATTAATTGCATAAGGTTTGATATTTGTATTTAAAAGAAATTATATCCAGACAGTACATTGCCATTGTAGATATGGAAATTTTATATATAATAGAAATTGCACAATAAAAATAATAATACAAAAAGAAAAAAGAAAAAACACTGGTAGAAAACTAATTTTAAAAATCCTGGAATTTACAAATAGCTCAAGGATTAGGAAAAACAAAACCCATAAAACTAAAAAATGAGAAATTATTAAAAGAAGGTAAGCAGTAAAGTAGGTTGTGATCAACAAAAATAATAATAAAATGACTTATTTTTTACATTGTGAACACGGATTTGTCTACCTGATTAATAACTGTATCAATCTAATTTTAAACTATATTTATTAATTATGTAGCTAATATTAACATTTCACATAAGAAAGTAGATTTCTTGACAAGAACATAAATCATACTCAGAATTTGACCAGTTATGGAATCTTGTTATTTGACTTTTTTCAGAATAAAAATCTTATTCAATATATCTTAATATTTGTCTACAAAGATATACTTAAGATTACACTTTTATTTGCCTCAAAACAGTAAGTTCAGGGGTGGGATTCAAATTTCTTAACAACCGGTTCTGTGGATGTGGCCTAATTTATGGGTGTGGCTTGGTGGTCATGTGACTGGGGTGGGCATGGCCAGATGGCCATGTGACTGGCAAACCAAATGTAAGTGGTCCTCGCTTAATGACCAGGTCCTCGCTTAATCGTCAGTTGCTTAGCCAGTTTTTTTGCCAGTTTCCAAGGCCTGGGGAGGGCAGGGCAAGGCCTGGCCAGCTACGAGGAGCTACGGGGAGGGCAAGGTGAGGCGCGGGAAGCTACAAGGAGCTACAGGGAGGGCAAGGCGAGGTGCGGACAGCTATGAGGAGCTACGGGGAGGACAAGACAAAGCCCAAGCAGCTACGAAGAGCTACGGGGAGGGCTGGGCAATAAATAAATAAACAATAAATTTTCTATTTAGTGCTTCAGTTGAAAAAAAGCAAAAGCATTTAAGTCTAATCTCACAAGAGAAAAGCAATTTTTTGTATTGGTTAACTATTATATTAATCATCAATTTCTGTATGAATAATCCACTTTGTTTTTAACAATTGAATAGACCCAAAAATGTGACACATAATTATAAGGTGACCAACTTTTTTACAATGAAAAGGAGGACACAAATTGAAGAAAAAAACTAAACTACTTGTGCGCGACGCACTCTTGCATGTGGTACACTCTTTTACATGGCACACTCTCTCAAAACAATTCTGTGTGGCACGCATGCATCTCATAATCACGTCTCGCTGCACTGTACCAAGCCTTGATGAGTCGTCATGTCAAATACAAATACATCACATCACACACAACAGATCAGATCGGCATCGATCAAATATGGAGATTTACAGATTAGTCTTCAAATATCAAAAAGGAGGACATGTATGGGGACACTTTTCGAGAGAGGACAGAACTTCCTAAAGGAGGGCAGTTGGTCACCTTAATAATTAAAACACACTCATGAATTCAAATATGAGAAATGATCAATTCAATATCTGGCTGTACACTGCAAGTGGACTTGTAATAACACTTTGTTTCAGCAAAACATATGCTTGACACCTTTAACTATCAGCTCCCAGAGAAGAGCATTTACACTCCAAAGTAATGAGACAATGCCATCTGCTGTTTTGGAAAGAATAAAATAATTGTGGCTATTATGTAAATGCACCATATTATACATTGCATATGTGGGGATGAAAGACAGACAGAATAACAGAGTTGGAAGAGACCTTGTAGGTCATCTAGTCCAGGGGTCGCCAACTTTTTGGACCTCAGGGACCATCAAACTCATAATTTTAGATCCCAGGGACCACTAACTGGTTCTATGGGTGTGGCCTAATTTGTGGGTGTGGCTTGGTGGTCATGTGACTGGCTGGGCATGGCTTGTATGTAAATATTATAAATATTGATATAAATATTGTTTTTTTTTATAAAAAAGAGCAACTTTTACCCAAAATCAGGCAAAGCAGGCAGGCAGATTGAGTTGCTCACAGAATCACAGATTCACTTAGAGATCCGTGTTCCTGCCATCAGCTAGCTGAGTCTGCACTGCTTCAGTCCTGAGCAAGGTTCCTCTCTGCTTAAAAGCAGAGCGGAAGATCTAAAGAGTAGCTTTAGGAATGCTCGGAATGTTGCACTTAGCAAAGAGTTCCAGGAATAGGATACTGACCTCTGTAACAACTCAGCCTGTAAAAGAAAAGCATACTTTTGTTTCTCCAATTCTTATATGACCGTTTTAATCTAGTAGTTTGAATAAAGCACCACCATAAAATAAAAAGAGGAATTAGAATCCTGTGGCATTCATATGTTGCTAAACTGTAATTCCCAGGATACCAGGACACCAGACTACTGGTGAGGGGCATTAGGAGTAACATGTAGAGATATCACAGGTTGATTATCACTACTCTAAAAGATGAAACATGTTATTTATTATAATATACAATATGAATTCTTCATCACTCCTAGATTTTTTTCTGTAGAGTCATATAAGCCAGTACTTATATTTTTAAGAGTATGCTAAAATCACTATAGTGTTTTTCAAGTCAGGGTACCTTGTAATATCATTCTTACAGGCTAACATTACCTTCAGAAATAAACTCTTACATATTAAATGGAGTTCTTTCTAAATTTACATTTAATTTATCCTATCCTTACTCCAAAAATAATATATATTTATCTATGTCAGAGCTGGCAAAGCTATGGAACATGTCATAAATATTCTCATAAAATGGCAGGGATAAACATAAGCAACTAGGGGATGAGGCAAGTGATGAAACAAGAATTAAAACATCATGACACAAACCCTGTGACTTATGCAACTGCACAATATGTTCTGACACTACAATTTGTACTACAATGGCTAGGTGGGTCAGAGTCACAAAATATCTACAGAATCCAAACTGCTAGCATTGTACCAAATTGTCCCATTTGCCTATCATTAACTTTCTTCCATCCCCTTTTTGTTTCATTAGACAAAACAGAAACATTCCTAAAGAAAGTTCTGAATTGCAGCTATACATTTTATTTTGTTTTTCCTACAAACACTTATGTGACTGAAATAATATCCAAAGGTTTTCCTTGTGGATGATGCTAAGGGCTGATGACTTGCACTACAACATTTTAACTTTTTAAATTAAAAACAATCAGGGCAGAAGTATTTACGGGTGGGATTCTCTCTTTCCCTCTTTCTTTCTCTTTCCCTCTCTCTTCCCCCTCTCTCTTTCTCTTTCTCACCTCTTTCTCTCTTTCTGTCCCCACTTCTCTCTCTCTCTCTCCCCCCTCCCTCCCTCTCTTCCTCTCTTTTTCTTTCTATCCCTTCCTTCCATCCCCTTTCTTCCTTTCACTTCCTTTCTCTCCCCTTTTCTTTCTTTCTTGCTCTTTCTTTCTTTCCCTCTCTCCCTTCCTCTTTCTTTCTTCCTCTTTCTTTCTCTCCCTTCCTCTTTCTTGCCCTTCCTTCCTTCCTTTCCTTCCTTCATCTTTATCTCTCTCTCTCTCTCACACACACACACACACACACACACACGAGCGACAGGAGAAGAAAGTGAGCAACCCCGGGAGTTCTCCCCCCTTTCAGATAACCTCCGCTGCTACTTGCTTCTCCTGGGTGGCGGAGTCAGCGGTGGCACTCCAAAAAGGAGGGGGGAACCCCCAGGGCTGCTCCCTTCATCTGGCGGTGGCGCTGGGCAGATTTGGCAGTTACTGAAATTAAGCAGCCCCAATGAGTTCCCGGCGGCTATGGGGGAGCACGTCCGCCGCCCCTCTCAGCCCCAGCACAGCAAAGACAGCAAACAGCTCCGGTTGCCACCATCACCGCATCACCCTGAGGCCTGGCAAAGGCTCCGGGTCAGCGATGGGAGGCCCCAGATCGTTGAGGGGAGGCATTGCAAGCGCCGGTTTGCGACGGGAGACCCCGGGTCAGCAAGGGGAGGCATGGCAAGCCCCAGATCGGCGACGGGAGGCCCCATGTCAGCGACGGGAGGCACAGCAAGGCCCGGGGACAATGGCGGGGGGTGAGATCGGGGGAGGGCTGGGCCTTCCAAGTGGTGGGAGGGAAGGGGCAAAACAAAAGGCAAGTGGTGGGGGGGGGAAGGCGACCAGGTCTTGCACTCACCCAATCAGATCAGGCAGGACTGCAGCAAAAGGCAGGCAGCAATGGCTCGCTTGGCGAGCAGGCTGCAGGGATGTTGTGCATGCACACGATGTTGCACATGCGCAACAGGGACTGACTGGGCAGGTAGCAGAGAAGCGGGTTGAGAGGGATGGGGCCAGCCAGAGGCCCAATTTACCGGTTCTTCAAACTACCGGGAACCATAACAACCAGTTCTATAGAAACGGTTCGAACCGGTAGAATCCCACCCCTGAGTAAGTTCTAATATTGAACTCATCACTGTTCTATCTGAAGTTGATAAGCATAATGTTCCAAACCAAGCCATCAGAAGAAGAGGCCACATTGCTGTGAGCAGAACAGGTCTCTTTACTGGAGTCTCAGCTTGGTATGTGGTGAACAATGCAAGTAAAAGTTTTTCTAGCCAGCATTACTGGCTTCTACTAGCCAGCTGGCTATACGGGCTCAGCACATTCCACCATCCTGTTACTGGTTGTTCCCGGCTGGCTCCAGCAAGTACTTTTTTGACCTGGCTCCAGCAAGCACTCTTCGAGCCCAGTTGGTCACTGGCTGGTTCCAGCAAGTACTTTTCAGGCCTGGATTGCTTCTGAACCGACTACAGCTGGCTTGCCTTCCTGGCTCCTCTCCCAGCATGAGTCCCATCACCTGACACCATCTGTGGTCCCATGCATCCCCCTCCCCCTGCTGTGTGTGGCAACTCTGAAACAGTGCATTGTGGCCACTTTAAATGGCGCACTGTCTCAGATGTTGATATATATTTTTCCCAAGATGTTTCACTTAATATAGTCAGAAATTGTTACACAAATCAGCACATAAAAATCTGATACGGACAATCAAATAGTAAAATATCTGGTGTTTTTTTTAAAACCACAAAATCATTTTCTTCTATTGAATGTAATTACATACAATTAGCTTTATGCATAAAGTACCTTTCACACATAAAATATTTCCAAGATTTGACAATTACCTAATGTTCATAATGCTAAATCAATTTTAACTTCTTACCTTTGGTTCAAATTGCACGCAACCTGTGAATTAAGAAAAAATTAAATTAAGTTCTTTCAATTATATATGACAACCCACCATATTATCACAATATTTTTCAGAAATTGGATAATTAACCAATAGTCTATATTGATTATTTTAACACGTAAAAGCAAGAAAAAATTTGAACATCTGATATACTGTTTGATGAAATGAAGGCATTAAGATCATTTTGGGCATCTATTCAATGAAATCCTCAAATATTTTGTTTCTAGCTCCACCATCCCAAAGTCTGTATTCGGTCATGTAAGTTTGCATGCCTGAGTATTCAATGTCCAATCACTCCTCCAACTAATAGAAACTATGTTGTACATTTTATGCAGGGCTAAAAAATTAGGACCTTTTAAATCATGGAAAAGTATTTCCATTCTGCATCATTTTATGTTGCTTTTCAGTTTATCTCATTTCTTTCAATTAAGATTTATTTGGAATTAACATTTTGATATTTAGTCTTGCTTTGTTTATTAGGTATATTTTATTGTTTGAGAAGTCTAATATTTTATGCATTGTTTTCTACACCAATTTTATTAAAATTAGTCCATTTCAGAGGTAATTAACCTTTATTGTCAGAGTACATGTGTACCATGAGATTGGTTGAGCCTCCCTTCGTGTACCTCCCTCCAACACAACTCACAGTGAGGAGAGAAGTCCCCAACCCAGTCCCAATCTTATTACACAATGTGACCTTGTTGCACAACGAGCCGGCCCCGCAAGTCTATCATACTACGTTAATATCATACTACGTTAATAATTAAAGTTATTTTCTGTTCAGAAGTCTGACAGCCCACAGGTAGAAACTGTTTTTCAGTCTGTTGGTACAGCTGGTGATGCTTCTATATCTACCTAATGGTAGGAAAGTGAAGAAATGCTGACCGGGGTGTGAGTCGTCCCTGCGAATTTTCCTCACTCTTCTAAGGCAGCAAGCCCTAGCGATGTCATCTAGTGGTATCAGGGAACAGCCCACGATGTTTTGTGCTGTGCTCACCACTCTCTATAATGTCAGTGGCTGTAATCAGCAACTGTCAAGCCAGCATACCACACCGTAATGCAATATGAGAGGACGTTTTATATTGTGGACCGGTAAAAGGAGGTCATTGGTTGTTGTTCCACTTTATTCTTTTGCAAGACCCTAAGGAAATGGAGTCTCTGTTGGGCCTTTCTGGCCATCTGGGTTGTGTTGATTTTCCAAGTAAGGTGGTATTCAGCAGGTTCTGACCAGTTCTGAAGAACTGGTAGCAGAAATTTTGAATAGCTCAGAGAACCAGCAAATACCATCTCTGACTGGCCCCGCCCCCATCTATTCTCTGCCTCCCAAGTCCCAGCTGATAGGCTGGGTCTTCTTTTGTTGCCCTGCAAAAAAGGAGAACGGAGCTGGAAAGCAGGTTAGTGGGGTGGGAAGAGAATGGGATTTTGCAGTAACCTTCCCTCAGGAGTGGGGAGGGAATGGACATTTTACAGTATCTTTCCTCTGGAGTGGGTTGGGAATGGAGATTTTACAGTATCCTTCCCCTGCCATGCCCACCAAGCCATGTCCAAGTCACGTCACGCCCACCAAGCTATACCCACAGAATCAAAAAATTCAGTAAAAAAATCAAAGAATCAAAGAATCAGTAAAAAAATTTGAATCCCACTACTGGTTTGTTTGGATATCTTGAAAGGAAATGTTTCAAGATGAATAATCAACATCAGTACATCTTGCACTAGAAATCATGTACATCCATCTGAATGCCCCCATTTCTCTCAGACTACTTATTTAGTTGTGCACATCTGAATCCACTATCTAAACACTGAGTTGGTGTCTTGAAAGCTTATTAGGGCTCAACCGTTTAGATAATCTACTAAAATTGTCTGAGCATGCATGCAGACAATAAAAGTTACTTTTACTGGGATTGCCCCAGTGTACACCCAAGTAGAAAATATAAAATACTGTAGCTATTGTTTAGCACACACCCAAAATTATATTTAAAATATATTAATTATTGTTTTAAACAATATGGACAAACAATTCACTTTATAGCAAAGCCAAAACTAAATGTGTTTACCTCTAAGAAATGCTGTGGATCACATTCATCTAAAAGATTTTCACAGTCAATTAGAATATTTTCAATTGTTTTTTGATGAGCTTCTTTCATATTCTTCCATATAAGATGCTCTTTCTCCTTTCTTTTCTTCTGGCTTTCAAGGTTTTTAAGCAATTCCTTCTTTCTGGCTTCCAAAGCATTACAGAGTTTTTCAAATTCAGTTTTAATCAATTCCTCTTCATTCTGCATTAGGGCCTATAGCAGCAGTGACAAAGAAAAACATATGAGCACTGAAATGCTCCTATCCATGCAGAAGTCAAAATACTAGAAAGCAGTTCAAAGCACTAAAATTTTGTGTGTGTGTTTACATGCGCACTTGTGCGCACATGATGCTTTTAAGTCAGTGCTGACTTCTGGCAACTGACTTTTTTAAAAAAGCCAAAAATATTAAGTCTGCATGTCTGAAGTAGGCAATCTCTTTTGACTTGGGGATTGCAATTTCTTTTTGAAACCAATCTAGAAGGGGGTCACAAGAGACAAACTAATATACTATCACTGTAGTGAGGTAACATATTGCAGATATTTAAGATGTTTTAATTTGTACATTATCCCCTACTCTACCCTCACTATTCATAAGGGTTATGCCAGATTTTTAAAGGATAAATCATGTGCTTTAATTCTATGCAAGGCTCTCAACACTCACCTCTACCTAATATATACAAAATCTGCCAAAAGTTGGAACATTTCAGATCCTTCAGAGGTTTTGAAACTGAAAGCAGCCCCCAGATTTCCTACTTTATTCTGTCACTAGGTTGCAACTATTACCAAAATTAAATGCTGTAAGTACTGTATTAGAGTTACTATGTTTTTGCATCCATTTCAGTTTCTTCAAACATTACTGTGCCCAACTTTCAAAATTACCAATAAATAGGATAACTGATAGGGGTTTTTCCAGTTATTTCAATTCACATATAGAAGTCTGGAAAAGTTAGTTTGGGTTACTTTTCCTGGAATTTTAATCCCAACCAAAATGTTTGCATACCTGAAAAAAAAAGAACTCCGAGAATATAATAATTACAACCATTTATTTAATGTTATGTTTCAGTATTAGATTATTATTGGCTATATTAGAAAAAAACTAATATGGGAAACAAATTTTCTTTCATTTTACAGAAAACCTCTCAATCCATGCCATATTTTTTAAAAATATATATTTTTAACATGTATTCAGAAAATCTGACTGTTTTCAATTCCAACAGAAACAAAGGACCAAAAGGTTTATCAGTATCAGTGTATATAATACACAGATCAAAATGAAGATGGAAATGAAGAAAAGAGATGAATCAATAACGTGCTTCAAGTTATTCAAGTTACTTCAATATTTTAAATATTTTTGCAGCTAGTTGTTTTTGGATATGTTACTGCTTTTTCTGTAAATAAAATTAAGAATGAGGATATTATCAGTTTTTCTTGAAGCTTCATCAAAGGCTTCAGAACAATAGAAATAAAACCACCACTTTGGCAAAAGTGAACAGATGACAAATATGACATAGTATTCCTTTTCTTTCTGCATTAAAAATAACAAAATGGGTATATAATAATAGCCTTCTCTATTTTTCCATTGTCTTACCATTAATTGGTAAAATAATGCTTCTCTTGAGCTACAAGTGAACATTTTTAAAGGCCATCAGAGCTCTAGAGAAACCGGATAGGATTAGAGCTTTTTCAAGAATGAGAAAGGAACAATTAAGATTTTGCCATGATAAATTAATGTTTGCATTCAGTACCCTATCTATCAGGCTCCTATCTATCTTACCTTCAAGTTCCAACAGAATGTTCTTCTATGCATGATGACCCATGTTTAGTCTGTGTCTATATCTACTAGTACTTCTTAAAAAACATCCAAAAATGTTGCTACAGGCCCAAGTAATCTTTGCTTTGACTACACAGCTTTCTTTTATGCAGTGCTCCTTTGCTTTGATCCTGTCTACCAGCTTCACCACTAAAAGAATTCTTTCTGTTCTGGATATACTGTTCCTCTTTAATTTCATTAAATGGCTTCTAATGCAATTGTAATCTCATATACATTTCTTATCCTTACTCTCAAAACTCACTAGCCAGCCCCTTTTATCTTTCCATTTGTAGTGGAATGTATCATTTCCCTATTATCATTCACTGAAGCTTCATGCTGAGTTATCTAATGGCCACCACATCTTTTCCTTTGTTCTCAAACAATATTCAGCTATAACTAAATAATGCATCTATCTGTATTTATGCCTGATCTAATCTTTTTTAAATGGATATGGAACATACAAATAGGTTTTTAGGTTGTAAATACTTTGGATAAGAAAATCTAATTTATTTTTTGTAAAATATAATATACAGGTAGTCCTCAACCCTAACCCTAACCACAATTGAGCCTAGAATTCATGTTACTAACTGAAACATTTGTTAAGCAAGTTTTGCCCCATTTTATGACTTTTCTTGTCACAATTGTTAAGTGAATCACTGCAGTTGGCAAATTAGTAACATGGTTGTTAATTGAATCTGGCTTCACCACTGACTTTGTCAGGTCACAAAAGTGATCACATGATCCCTGGGCACAACCATCATAAATATGAGTCAGTTACCAAGCATCTGAATTTTGATCACATGACCATGAGGATGCTGTGATCGTTATGTGAAAAATGGTCAAGTCACTTTTTTCAGTGATATTGTAACTTTGAAAGGTCACCAAATGAATTGTTGTAAACTGAGGACTATCTGTATATCATTATGCCAATGTTAAGATATGCTTAGGAAAGAATTGAGGAAAGTTAGTATTTTCACTGTATATATGTACAAACAATCTATTTGGTGAAATATTTTTTCTCAACTTATTTAGTTTACCTTTTCATCCTTTGGAGATACTGATATTTCATTCATCATTTTCAGTTGTAATTCTCTTATTTTCTTCAGGTTACTAAAGAAGGCTAGCTGTAGAAAAGGTAGTTTGAAAAGTTAAACCAATTTGAGATGCACAATACTTTGTTTAAACATCACTTCTAATTACTTCAAACATTTTTGTGCTTTTACTAAAAATATCAGCAAAAATGTTTTTCAGTTTTAATGTTAGTATTATGTTTAGCTAATATAGATTCAGCCTGGTCTAGATTTCCAAAAATATATTCAGAAATAGGAGTCTATCCTAATTTTACTGTTATTTCTTAGAATTTGGCTTACAAGTTACATTTTTAATTAAGGTCCTCAATCAGACTTAAAGTCCAGAGACCAACAGGTTTGGTAAAAGTAAATAAGAACTAATAAGTTAAAGGAAAAGGGGAAAGTGCAAATTAATGAACTCACTATTTATATTAACCCCAATTTTCTTTTGCTTATTTATTTAGTGCCTTTCAGTTAGTAAGTTAATGAAGCTTTCTTGGAAATATTTTCAAAAGTGGTTTGCCACTGCTCGATTGCTAGGGCTAAGAGAGAGTAATTTGCTCAAGATCATGCAGCTAGCTTCAAGCCTAAGGCAGGGCTAGAACTCATGGTCTCCTATGCATGGTCTCTCTTGCCTTAACCACTTCACCAAACCAGTGCTTTTCTTACACTATGCATTTTTTGTGCTGCAAATCTTATTTAGTATAGTAATAAATAGAAAGATGGGCTAAATAACAAATAACAAAAACAATGGACAAGATGGCAATCAAACAAAATCCTTTAGTATTTACATTAGTAAATTATATACGTGGAGAATTTTGCTTAAATTTTCACTTCCCAGTTTGATAGTTTGCTACTTAGTTTTTGCTTTTCCATTCCACATCAGTAATTCATCAGCAGTGAACAACTTCAAACAGTTCTAGGAGCAACTAAACAATTTATCTGAAAGGTAATATGGACCTATCGGTCCCTCACTGTTATCTATCTATCCATCCATCCATCCTTAAGATCTGCTGGTCCATATCTTTTAGGTATTCCTATCTTCGTATAAAATTTAACTATTATGATTGAATCAGCTGGATTATCTCAAATTAAGTTACTGCTATACTTGCACAAGCATTTTACTGTATATATTTTATATATGTCATGTATATAAATTATGTACACATTTATATTCTAAATTAAATTGTGAACAGATTACAACCACAACTGGGACCAAAATTTCTGCTGCTAAGGCAGTTAAATGAATTGTGCCTCATTTTATGATCTTTTTGCCATTGTTGTTAAGCAAATCATTGCAGTAGTGAATCTGGCTTCCTCTCCCGATTTTTTGGAAGTCAGCAGAGAAGGTTGATCACACCACCACAGGATACTGCAACCATCATAAATACATGCTTGTTGCCAGTGTCCTAATTTGATCATGTGACCATGGGGATCCTTAAGCGGAAGGACCGACTGATAAGTCATTTATTTCAGTGCCATTGTAACCTTGAACAGTTGCTAAACAAATGGTTCTAAGCCTAGGAAACCTGCAGTACTAAAAAAGCTTGCTACAAAACCCTATATTCTTATTCTATAATATTTTCTTATGGTATTGGATTTGTGTTTGTAAAAGTTTCATCATCTACTTCTCAACAGATTTTTATTGATTCATGTGTGGAGTGTGTCCTAGGATCACAGAGAACTCTATTCTCTTTTATCAGTCTTCCCTGTATCTGATGCTCTTCAAATGGGCTGGGTCTTAGGGAGGCCTTCTGGAAAGTACTCTACACTCCTACAACTGCGTATATGTTGGTCTCTCTTGGGAGGCCCGCGTCCCTTTTCCAGGATCGCTCCCTTCCCTTCCCTCTATAGATAAGCGCGTACTTTTTCCTCTTGGTACACCGTGTCGATGAGGTTGACTGAATGGAAGACGCCACGGTGGTCTTCTGACACGCACTGCCCGCAGCCTCCAGAGCGACACATCCGGCAGTAGAGCTGCAGAGGTCGCCCCGGGTGTTTCTTGCAGATCCCGCCCAGGGCAGCCAGTTGAGGGATCACAACTGACGAGTCCACCTCCGCTATCGCTTCCAGGCTAGGCTTCATCGCCGGGTTGGCAGCCCTGAACAGTTTCACCACCTCGGCTAGCGTAGTGTTGACAGGTAATGCAGAGGCCCCGCGGTCGGAAGGAAGCGAGCAGAGCTTGCGGCACAGCGGGCATGACAGAATAATCGAACCTCCGTCCCGTGACGGGCGGCCCGGGGTCTCTTGCAGTAAGTCACGGCTTCGAGGAGAGGGCCTCGGTGCGGAGGAAGAGGGCAATGCGACGCTTGCAGCTTGACTGAGACACTCGACGACGCAATGGCGGCAGAAGTTGTGAGAGCAGGCCGGCAGCGTGACTGGATCCTCGAAGAGCGACAGACACACCGCACACGTCAGGCTGGCCTCCATCTGCACATGCGTTGCAGAATCCCACCAAATGAGGGTCGAGATGGATGTTTGGTGTTCTAAAGTCTTTCCGAGAAAGAAGGACTTTCCCCCTTACTCTCTATTCACGCTTCCGCCAATTAACAAACGCCCAGCTTGCCTCTATCTGTCATTACTGAGAACTACCATTCTCAGACCATGTCCCGCCTCCTTACCCCAGTAAAGAGCCAATTAAGAAGAAAACGAAACCGTTAGCGGTTCAAAGTCCTTTCTCCCCGCCTCTTAATATCATTCCAACGGATCATTAATTCAGATTGGCAGTATTCTCCACCAATGAATTTGCAGGATATCCTGTTTTTTTTTCCGAACGGAAGGCAGAAATGAATCAGAAATAAATAGTTCGTCCTGGAGAGCAAGTGGTAGTTTGAAGCGATCTCTGTTTTTCGTACCATCTGTGAAAACGGGTCGATTATATTTTGAGGCTCAAAAAACTGCGTTCCTCATGAAGTAAAATAGATGGAATGCTGTACAATCCTGTCCATGTCCTTTCAGAAATAAGCCCTATGAAATTGGCTGATAAATATAGGATTGCTGTTTCAAAGTATTTTATGTGGGGCTTGATGATATGCTACCACTTGAATACGAAATAAGTTTAGTTTTAATTTACTGGAAATAAAAGTCACCTTTTAAAAAACGTCAATATATGCTGCTCAAACTAAATTGAAATATTACAGATATATAATAAAGAGATGTCAGTGCCTATGTTAGTTGATTAATTTCAAAAGGACTTGTTCTTCATGGACTTCAACTTGCACTTATTGACATAAACAACATGGTCTGGAGAGCTCCATTTTCTGCCATGTTCCATAATATAGTCTCCAACCCATAAATGTGATAACCATAAATCACTTTCAGCTGAACTGGCATTTACTCTGGTAGTTTTCTAGGACCACTTCAAGATATACAAAATCTGCTAGGCTTTATCACCCATGTTGCTGGAAAAAAGGTTTGGGAATAATTTAATTATTTCCTCTGAGGAGAGATCTTTTTAGCAAAGCAATCAATACAGATAGTACTCGACTTATGACCAGTTGCTTAACAACCATTCAAAGTTACAATGGACTTCCCTTGAACTACTTCTGACCAATTTTCGGATTTACACACATACCCACGCTCAGATGACCATATTTTGGGTGCTCAGCAACAAAATCCCCTTTACAGCCATTTACAGCATTCTTTACAGCATTTTTGCAAAATTTGCAAAATACTGGAATTTTTGCCATCTTCCAGCATTTATTTCCAGTTGCTGGCAAAAAGACATCCACTGAGGAAAATAAGTTCACTTAGTGGCATACACTTAACAACTGAAATAAAAAATAGTCATAACTTTAAATCCAACCAGGCAATGCCTAAACTTAAAACTGCAATGACCCCTGCATCAATTACAGTTATAGTTAATTACAGACACTCCCTGCATCTACATATAGGAATATTTGTAGATTTTCCCCATAGAGACAAGATTCCCCATATCTGTCATGAAAAATACATGAGAAAACAGGCCATAATGTTGCTGCCTTACATTGCCCACATATAACATTTTCCTTTGAATGTACAAAATTTTGTGTTCTAATGAAAGACTTCTTCTGAGCACATTTTACTGTTTCTAGCCCAGATTGTTAGGAAACCAACTTTCAAAGATCAGGGTTTTTCTCCTGATGTCTCAAGCACTATTTCCCCTGTTTTGACCTCGTCTGCAACTGCTGATTAAGAAGACTAAGAATGGCATTAGGAGTGAATTTGATACATCAATTCTGGTTTTTGCTGTCAAGGATGGGTGGAAACACTTTATACTTATTCCATGTCCAACCTTCATCAAGATGTGTGTTTGTAGATTATGGAGATAGATCAAGGACTGCATTTAATATTTTGGGAAGGGTGCATTTTTGGAGAGAATTAGGGGATCCTTCTCTTATTAAAAAAAATATCCAGTATTTTAGGGCTTATACAGTCATTTTCATCATCATCATCTTCTTTTTTTTTTTTTAGCAATGATGGCCAGAGTAATTTAGAAGATTGAAAAAGGGGTGTTAAAGAACACAAATGGTCCTATGGCACCCACTTCTGTTTTAACAAATGCAAATGGCCAGATCATCAGTTGAACTGGTTATCTTCATCTTTTGATGTGGAAGAGGAAATTTAAAAAAATCAGACTCCAATAGTTCGCAATATCTGATTTAAACCATTTATTAAATTATTATTATTTTAATAAAAGTTTTATTGCTTTTTTAAGACAAACATAGACAAACACAACATAAAAACATCAAGCCATCTTCCATGTATATACATACAGTGTGTCAGTTGGTTTACAAATTGTTTTGTGCTTCCACTTCGTAGTCTTCAACTACAATTACATTGTATATGTTCTCATGTTGTCAATCAAATATTCCTAAATACATTAATATCATTGTTAATCATTTGACTATACTATTATTCATTCATGTTTTACAAGATAATCCATATTTTGCTTAATTTGTTTTATGGCAGTTCATATTATCATCTCAAATCTATCTTAGTCATTTTGTAGATATAATAAAGAAAAAATACATCTATATATATTCATTATGTTCTAAAAATCTGCATATTTCATTACCATGTTTTATTGTCTAACCATTGATAGAATAGATCCCAAATTTTTTAAAATTGTTTATCTTCTTGTTCTCTGATTTCAAATGTCAATCTACTCATTTCAGCACATTCCAATATTTTCTTAATAACTTCCTCCTGTGTTGGTATTTTCTCATTTTTCCAGTTTTTGGCAAATACAATCCTAGCCGCTGTTAATACACTTACAATCAAATATTTCAATTATTTACTATATATTTCAGGTAAAATTCCCAATAAAAATATCTGTGGTTTCAAGTCTATATGCTTTTCTGTCATTTTTTCCAACCATGTGTGTATTTTAGTCCAATATTTTTTGGCATCCACACATTAAATTATTAAATTATTCATGACTCACCAAATGGATCAACATACATTTCCATAAGAGTAGCCAAAGCCAACCTAGCTATTCACCCCACTATCTTCTCCAAAAGAGCCCAAATCCAGAATCTTAGAGATAGATGTTTTTAGGGCAAAATCTGCCACTTGCCCAGATGTCCCTGAGATGTCACAACAAGCTATTTTACATTTTAAGAGCCTTAGTTTTAATATTATTTTCATATACTGAAGTTTAGGGATTGCCTACAAGTGTTATTGAACAAGTACAATTGTTTTCCATAAGTCATTGGCTATTTGAATGACATCAAAGTGTTTTTCTATACCCTGATTTAATGTTAAGTATATTGTTAATTTTGAAGTTATTTCCGTATTAACAGAGACACAATGCTTGACAGCTCTAAGCCATCAAATTGATCTAATTGGCTTTTAAGGGGCTGGATCTGAAACCAATGAACCAATCTCCATGACAACTACATTATCAGGGTATTGCTTTGGCCAATATGTGATAAATTCATTGCTGGGTAAGATCAGTGGAAGATCATGTTTGCATAAAGAAAACTAGCACAGCGAAGGAAAAACTGGAGTTTTGCCTTGATATGCTAGCTTTCTGTATTCAAGACATTTTGTATAACAAAAATGAAATATGATGAAATATGAACAAGACATTGAAGCATTCTTACTAAACAGTCAATATCTAGGTGTTTTGAAAGAAGTAGCATTTTTATCTATACTCTTAGCTATGTTTCTTCCTTTTATATGTGTATGTATTATCTGTATATAAGGTTTAATGGTGTGCTGCATTTTAAATTTCGTGACAAGATCTTGAACTATAAATAAATGAATAAATGAAATATAATGGATACTATGTACAATTTATTAATTTATCCATTTTAGAAATGTGAGTGGAGGTTTACAGAAAGAATATAAATTTGTGGTTTATTTGATCCTATACTTTTTCTTATATACCAACTTTTCCTTGTTTATTAAAAAACATTTTTATCATACCTGGCACAGCCCATGAATTAACTTTTTTAAAAGAAAAATAATCAAGCTAGTATTCAGCTAATTTAATGATGTAGTTACACCCCTTCAATTTAATCTCTCTTTCAGAATTACTAAAATCATTTAACAGAAAGCCAATAAATATAATTACATCAAAAGCTATGATGCAAATGAATACATTTACAAATGCCATTTTGATTAGAAAGTTTTCCTACAGCTCAAATATATTAAATTACCCAGGCTGAAAAAAAATGTTGGGGAATCTTTACTTTTTAATTTAATCTCACTCTGCTTTTATTAAAAGGCCAAAGCAATTCCCAAATGGCTTCCCAGACTCAAATTGTAGTAAATCATATACCACATATGATTAAAGTGCCTTTAAGTCATACATATGAGAACTTCAGTTAATTATTGCACAGTAGTACAACAAGTTAATCTCTTGAAAAAACTTGAGGCAACTTCTTCTGCACCCCTTTTAAATAGTGGGTGTTCCTAGAACTGAACTGGCAAAGTGTTCAGTTGAGTCACATTGCAAAGTACATCACAGTCAAAATAAAAGATAAGCATCTAACTTCCGAGTTTTAATTTTGACTTTTATGTTATTTGCAAGCTGGAAAACATGCTATTCACTTATCTGTTGTTGTGTTTTTTTGGGGGGGCTAGTAGTTTCATATTTCCCTTTTCCTTCAGAAACTCAAGAAGTGGAGAGTGCTTTTCCTACTTTTCCTCACAACAAGCCCTGCCAAGTAGGGTAAACTGACTGAATCATTATCCAGAATCATACATAAATAATATTATAACTTCTTGCTGTTGTTAGTTGTGAAGTCATGTCAGACCAATCGCAACCCCATGGACAATGTTCCTCCAGGCCTTTCTGTCCTCTGCCACCTTCTAGTTTATTTAAGCTCATGCCTACTGCTTCAGTGACTCCATCCAGCCACCTCATTCTCTGTCGTCCCCTTCTTCTTTTGCCCTCAATCATTCCCAGCATTGGGCTCTTCTCCAGTGAGTCTTTCTTCTCATTAGGTGGCCGAAGTATTTCAGTTTCATCTTCAGGATCTGGCCTTCTAAAGAGCAGTCAAGGTTGATCTCCTCCAGGACTGTCTGGTTTGATCGCCTTGCAGTCCAAGAGACTCACAGGAGTCTTTTCCAGCATCATAGTTCAAAGGCCTCAATTCTTTGGTGCTCAGCCTTTCTTATGGTCCAACTTTTACAGCCATACATTGCAACTGGGAAAACCATAGCCTTGACTATACACACTTTTGTTGGC